CTGCATGGCTAAGAAAGGGAAGATCTGCAGATTTACATTGCCATGTTTCCTGGAGGGAAAGATGGGACATAGATATTATAAACTAATCCAATCAGTACTCCTTCCTTTAAGTGTCATCTGATAATTCATCCCTAGGATCTACTGAAAATTGTTGGAAGGATATATCTTCATGCATGTTGTACCATAAGCTGTCACCAAGAGTTTGGAAATAAAGTGTCACCCTTTTTATCCCAGAACTACAAGAAGTGACAGATATGTTGTGAAGAATGATTGCAAAACTAGTTGGGGGCATCTTCTGATCTTTGTAATGGGCTATAAAAATAATTTTATTAAAGTCTTTATAATCTTCTTTGTATGCCAAAGAGAGGCAACTCATAAACTCATAAATGCATAACCTCAGCAAATCATGAATGCAAAATCTGAAATAAGAGTAAGAATAAGACTCCACCAATTGTAAAGGAAGCAAGTGGTTTGCCTAAATATTGTCCCTCTTAGAAATGTCTACTTTCATTTTTGTTGGGATAGTATCTTGCCAGCAGAGTACAGTTTGTTAAGTTATAGTTTGCAAAATTGAAACATATGGATAAACTATTATTTACCATGGAAAGAAGGAGAATGAGTGAGCCTGAGGCATAATTACTGTAGATCAATTAACTCCCTCAATTAATCATGCTGCCTGAAATTGATTTCTATATATTAGTTTTGAGTCAGTCTAACTCAGGATCCAGGGCAAGTAAAGGAAAGCCTTTAAACTCCTTCGCTGGGGTCCACAGGAAGAAAAAAAAATGCTGATCTAACAATCAGGCTTATTCTTGCTCAGTTTTCACTCATTTTTTTCTCTTGCTTCTGACTGTCATTTTCCATGCTTCCAATGTACAGTATAATTCCAAACAAGAGTATAATATCTAATCGTATTTTCACCAATTAATGTTTGAAAGTCCAGAACTTTAGAAACATCAAACTGTTATACATGTCTATTCCTTCACATAACTATTTGGAAATTATAATGAAAGAATATTTTTTTTCTATAGAATGAATATAAATAAG